GGACTTTCGGGGGGGCGGAGGAGAAAGGGAGGGGTGGGGGGACCGAAAGGGCGCCAGGAGGGGGGGACGGATGAAATGGGAAGGACCTTGGGGGGGGGTGCGGGGGAGAAAAGGGAGGTTCCAACTGCGGGGGTTTTTTTCGGGGGGGAGAAAGGGTCAAGTCAAGGAGGGGGGGGAGAAACGGACTGGGAGGGGGTCGGCGAGAGTGAGAATGTCGAGCAAATGGAGGATGGAGCTTTGGGCGGGGCGCTGGGGGAGAAAGGGAGGAGGGGCCCAGGGGACGGGATCTTTTAGGAAAGGGAGGAAGGGGGCCGACCTCTCGGGGGGGACAGATAGGGATGGCCGGGGTGGAAGGACGGTGGGCGGGGAGAAAGGGTAGGAGGGGGGCGGACAGGGGGAGAAAGGGCTTATGCAGGTCGGGGGGTCCCTGGCCTCCTTGGGGGTGGGTGGGGGGGAACGGGTAGGCTCAGGAGGGGGGGGAGGAATGGAAAGCGAGGACGGGGGGTGCGGGGGGTGACGTAAAGGTATGAAGCGAGGGGGGGTGCGGGGCTGCGGTGTAGGGGGGCGCAGGAAAGGGAGGAGGGGCGGGGGGCGTGAGAAGAACGGAATGGGGGCCTTGTCGCGGCGGGGGGGGGGGGAGAAAGCGGCCGCCAGGGGGGGGGGGGAGGAAATCGTTCGGGAGGAGGGGGACAGGGGGGGCAGAACTAGGGAGGATGTGGCTTTTCCTTGTCCGCAACCCCTTTTACCGTTTTAGGGAGACAGGGAGGATCGGGGGGGGAGAGGAAAAAGTGGCAAGGACTGGGTGCGCTGGGGGGGGGGAGAAAGGGACGGAAGGAGCGGTGGCGGGTGGGAGAATGAAGGGAGGCACGGGGTTCTAGGGGACCGGGGTGGGGGAGAAAGGGAGGATGGGGGAGGGGGGGGAGTAAAAGGGAGGAGGCGGGGGGGTGCGGAGAAAGGGAGGGGGCGGGCACGAGGGCGGAAGAAAGGGGAAGGACGAAAGGGGAGGGGTTGGGTTTGGATTGCGAGGCACTCGATTGAAAAGGGACGCGTGGGGGGGGGAGGCGGAGAAAGCGGAGGGGGCGGGTCGGGGGAGGAGACAGGGTAGGACGGGGGGGGGGCGGAGAAAGGAGAGGAAGGGGGGGGGGGGATCTAGGGCTAGGAGGGGCACCCATCACCGAAGCTGCGGGGGCGGTGGAAGATACAGGGAGGTAGGGGCGGCGAGTCAATGGGGGGGAGACAAGGGAGGGGACGGGGCGCTGGGGAGGAGAAAGGGTCGGTGGGGGTCGGGGTAGGAGAAAAGGGAGGAGGGGGGGGTAGAGAAAGGGAGGGGCGGGGAGGGTCTCTCGCGGGGAGGAGCGAAAGGCGACCGAGGGAGGGGGGGAGGAGAAGAAACGGGATGGGGGGCGTGGGCGGAGGACTCGAAATTGGCGAGGAGTGGGGCCATCCCGGGGAGGAGAAAGGGAGGAGGGGCGGGGATCGGATAGAGAAAGGCGATTGGTATGGGCAGGGGGGAGGACTTGAAGGGCTAGGGAGGTGGGATGGCCATTCCAGCTGAGGACTGGGCTAGGGGTGGGGGGGGAGAAAAGGGCGAGGAGGGGGGGGGGAGGAGAACTGCAAAGGGGAGGGGGGGGGGAGGAGAAAAGGGAGGGGCGTGGGCGTCCTCTCCCACCTGTGGGGGGGGGAGGAGAAAGGGGGGATAAGGGGGGGGGTGGGAGGCAGGGGGAGGGGGGGAGGGAGAAAGGGACGGAGGGGGGGGGGAAGGCAAAGGGACGGAGGGGGTACACGCCCAAGAAGGAGGGGGGGGGGGGGAGACAGGGGCAGGGTGGGGGGAGGAGGAAAGGGAGGAGGGGGTGGCCGGTGCGGAGAAAGGGAGGAGGGGGAGCCGGGTGAGGAGAAAGGGAGGAGGGGGATGGGAGGAGACAGGGAGGCGGGGAGTTGTTCGGAGAAGGGAGAGGGGGTGTGTGGAGAACAGTGGAGGAGTGGGTGTGTGGAGACAGGGAGGGGGGGTGTGTGGAGACAGGGAGGGGTGGGTGTGTGGAGACAGGGAGGAGTGGGTGATGTGCGGAGACAGGGAGGACCGGGGTGTGCGGGAGAAAAGGGAGGGAGGGGGAGCGGGAGGAGGACAGGGAGGACGGGGGGAGGGGAGGAGAAAGGGAGGGGTGGGTGGGGGGAAGAAAGGGAGGCGGGGGGGTGTCGTGGGAAGACAGGGAGAGTGGGTGTGCGGAGACAGGGAGGGGTGGGTTGTGGGAGACAGGGAGGAGTGGGTGTGTGGAGACAGGGAGGAGTGGGTGTGCGGAGACAGGGAGGGGTGGGTGTGCGGAGACAGGGAGGAGTGGGTGTGCGGAGACAGGGAGGGGTGGGTGGAGGGTCGTAATGTAGCTGAGGTCTGGAATTGAGAACTCATCTGAAACATATTAAAAATGCTGCTCTGGTAGGAGTGCTGAGTGGTACAGAACTGAAGACACGTGGGCAAAGACATCACACAGAGACAGACACCCTAAAACAATAGAACCAAGACTGTCAGCTTGTAACAAGGTCGTAAGGCATGAGTATACAGAATCCAAAACATCACTAAGGGAAATCCTAAAATGATTCAATTGAAAACAATCCATCATCATTTGATTTGTTACACTAACGTGGTTGACTGGGGCGGCAGATAGCCTAGCGGTTAAGAGAAGTTTGAATCCCGAGCCGACTTTGTGAAAAATATGTTGATGTGCCCTTAAGCAAGGCACTTAACCCTAATTGCTCCTGTAAGTCGCTCTGGATAATGTAATGAATGCTATGCATATCACATTTGATAACATTCGCAATACATATGCCTTATATGATGTCATGCAGTGCATTGTTCTCCCAGTGATAATATGACTTATGGTGGGGGTTATAGTGAAGAATAGCCCCTTGGGACTCTGACAAAGCACCTGTGCACAGCAAGCCAGTCGCAAACACACGTGCACTCACATGTACATACACACGTGCTCTCACATGTACATACACACGTGCACTCACATGTACATACACACGTGCTCTCACATGTACATACACACGTGCTCTCACCCTCTCTGTCATCCTGGCAACCCCTACGTTGGAGTGTACAGACATTATTAGCTTTCTGTGTGAGAGTGGGTTGTTTATAACCGAATAAAAAGGCTCAGTGGTAATATTGCTTTTCTTCTCCCATGATTGTATATATTTTTTCACACATTTTTCATGATAATTTTCACCAATAAAGCAGTCAGCACACGATTAGCAATTTTCACCCACACAAATCACTGTAAGAAGTTCACACCACTCAACAGAGTGAAAGAACAGAGACAGTTGGACTCATTAAGACACGGACAGCAGAGTACTGAATCAGTCATTTAAACGATCAGGATTATCAGAACAACTGTGCAGTCATCTTGGGACTGGAGATACAGGCATAATAGTTTAGGATGACACTAATCACAACAACTGCTGTCCAAATGAAACAGAAATACTGTACAGTTAAAAAAAGAACAATAATAACACTCAGCCATATTGAGACATGTTTCTACGACAACCACCCATAGAAGTACCTGATGCACAGATTAATTGTATTGCGATTCACTGATTATACAAATTGCATTGACTGGTTAAGTACTGTAGGTACTAGGACATCCACAATATCACAGGTGCGCAAACAGTAGGAACATTCTATATATGCTCTTTGCATACTATGATGGTACACACACCTACAGTATGTATGAGAATGATTCCGGTATCTATAGGGTGTGTTACAATAATTTTGACATGGGGTTGTGAGGGCAAACTAGGTTCTATAGATGTGAGTGATTGTACCAAATATATATTTTTTCTGTTGGTACTGGTACTGTATATTACAATGCATAAAGGAAGAGATGATAAACAAGTCAAAAACAAACTTGATTCAGAAAAATATCAACACTGTGCTTTATCCCCAATATAATACTGACATCAATGTTCATTTAGAGTAAATAGAACGTAATGGAATAATGTTGTGTTCTCCTACTCATCCACACCTGATTTCTTGCACAATGGAAACGGTAGAAGTTTGTATAATATGTGCATCAACCACAACGCTAGTCCAAGGCCCCCTCTCTCTTAATCTTTGACCGGTATGGTCGTCACATGGGAGGGGGAAAGTGTGTTGAGTTGTTTGGATGACCCAACTGCTAGGTTGCAGGCATTGGAGTCACTTAGTTGGGTTGTTTTCTTTAAAAAGAGCAAGGTTGGGTTGTTGTTGCTGGGTTATTGATGCTGGGTTATTGAGACCCAGCACTCAGGTCAGAAGACTGGAAGCGCGGCTAGGTAGGGCCGTGGTTTCATATAGTTATTTTTGGCCACCCGTGAGAGTAAACATCATTCCGGTTTATCTGTTCTATTGTATTGATATCACATGTTAAGGTTGTACACTGACACTTTAGTAGATTTAATTCAGCTTACAAAAGTCTAAGAGTTCCTTAAAAGCCTATGCAAAACCCAATGTTGGTATACTTACCACTTTGTAACAATATGTAAAAAAATTATGTTATTAATAATACATTAGAATATGTAATGTGTATTATTTTTAATGAAAATTGAAATTAGCAGTGTACTTAAGATTATGAACAAGAATTACATTTATTTTCACTGGTGGCGAAAAATAACTATCTGAAGGCCACTCAGCTAATAAGCCACGCCTCCTGAAAATAACCTATGGATTACATTTTTTAAAAGACTGAGCTGCTCAACCCAGCATGAAAATGAATATAACCCAATTGACGGTTAAATTAAACCATGTTTGGGTAATCCCAACAACCCAACATGTTAGGTTATTCACAAAACCTAACTGGCTGGGTCAAAATAACCCAGTGTGTGTTCTGTCCAACATTTACCCAATGCTTAGTTACCAAATAACCCAAATTGGGTTGATTTTAACCCAGTAGTGGTGTAATACATCCACCTCACAGAAATGTAACATCGTCCTGCGACTGCACCCATCGCCAGTGTGCATCATACCCCAGGTGCATCTTGCTGTTCATCTTGCAGGCATCCAGGTCTATCTTGCCGTTCTTATAGGGTTTGAGTTTGGGGCTGTGGCTTTTCCCCAGCTTTTCAGCCAGGCAGACCCAGGCAGAATCAGCAGGTCCTCCTGCTTGCCTGACTGCTTTCTCCAGGACGCCATTGCTCTTACTGGGCTGCTGGGTTTGGCTGGGGTCCTTGGTATCCTTGGTGATGGTGGTTCCTTTCACTGCCTCTGTGGCCTTAGTCCAAATGGGAGACTCCTTGGGGATGTCTGGCTTGACTTGGGGAAAGCCAGGATCAACAACTACCTTGCTCCCTGTGCCTGGTCCTACCCCAGCTCCAACCCCAACCCCTGCCGTAGGCACTGACCCTTCTACAGCCCCAGCTCCAGCACCTCTCCCAGCCCCTGCCCCAGGCTCTGCCCCAGCCCCTGCCCCAGGCACTGCCCCAGCCCCTGTCCCTCCCCCGGTCCGAGTAGGCGTCGCAGTCCCTAGTGGAGTAGAACACAGCACAGACTCAGAACTAGAGGGGCAGTACTCGTCCATGTCATCAGCCAGGGTGTCCAGATAACTGCCTATAGAGATGTTATCCAGCTTGTCGTTGAGGGGGTCATGCAGGCTGCTCCAGCTGCCCCTCCAGGTGTCTCCTCCAGGGCCCTCTCCCAGGCTGTACTGGCTGCTGGTCAGACTGCTGCAGCGGCTGGTCAGGGTGCCACGCTCCTCCAGGAGCCACTTACATGCCTCGATCCCCTCGTGCACCGCCAGCAGCTGCTGCAGGATCTTCACGTCCACCGAGCGCAGGTGGGCCTATGGAGAAGAAAAGAACTTTTTGATACAGAGAGAGGAAGGGAGAGGTGGGAGGAAGCAACTACTGACCAGGAGAGAGGAGATGGTGGGAGGAAAGCAACTGACTCAGGAGAGAGGAGCTGGTGGGAGGAAAGTAACTGACTCAGGAGAGAGGAGATGGTGGGAGGAAAGTAACTGACTCAGGAGAGAGGAGATGGTGGGAGGAAAGCAACTGACTCAGGAGAGAGGAGATGGTGGGAGGAAAGTAACTGACTCAGGAGAGAGGAGATGGTGGGAGGAAAGTAACTGACTCAGGAGAGAGGAGGGAGCTGTGAGAGCAGTGGTGGAGAGAAAGAAGATAGGAAGAAGGAGGATGGAGGGGTAAAAGGAAGATAGGAGAGGAGCAAGGTGAGAGAAGGAAGATAGGAGAGGAGCAAGGTGAGAGAAGGAAGATAGGAGAGGAGCAAGGTGAGAGAAGGAAGATAGGAGAGGAGCAAGGTGAGAGAAGGAAGATAGGAGAGGAGCAAGGTGAGAGAAGGAAGATAGGAGAGGAGCAAGGTGAGAGAAGGAAGATAGGAGAGGAGCAAGGTGAGAGAAGGGAGGTGAGAGAATAGAGGAGGAAGAAGAGGACGGAGAAAAGAGTAGAGATGAGAGGGTTAGGGATATAAGTGGTAATGGTAAGGGAAGAGATGTGAGAACAGATGTTTTTTCAAAGGTGAGAGAAGATGGGAGGTGGAACAGATGAAGCCAGGAGAGTAGATATAATAAAAACATTAAAAAATGAATGTGTAACAAGAAAGATGGGAAACAAGAATACATGAAGGGTGGGAGAATGATGTAGTAGCATGTTGGTGGGAGTAAGAAGATATGTATTTGAGAGAGAAAAGGCAAAAAAATTATTAGGGTTAAGTTGCATTCCTCACTGTTAAAACGAGTTGCCAACAGCAGTGAATTTTAAAAGTGGTGTTTATTTACAAGTTGACTTATGGAAAATAAATGAGAGTTGTAATTAATGAAAATAAGTAGACACCACTGGTTTTTGAATGCGTGTAGGAGGGATGTTGAATAAGCCAGGGATAGAGAAGAGGAAAAAAATGCTCAGTGAGTCAGAAACAGTCAGGAAGGAGGCTGAGGAGGAGAGAGAGAGAGAAGAGAGAGAGAGAGAGCGAGAGAGAGAGAGAGAGAACGCGAGAGAGAGAGAGAGAGAGAGCGAGAGGAGAAGAGCAGAGAGAGAGGGAGAGAGAGAGAGGAGAGAGAGAGAAGAGAGAGGGAGAAGAGAGACGAGAGAGAGAGAAGAGAGAGAGAGAGAGAGAGAGAGAGAGAGGAGAGAGAGAGAGAGCAGAGAGAGATGAGAGAGCCTGGTATGAGAGCGAGAGAGAGAGAGAGATAGAGAGAGAGAGCGAGTCTCTCTCTCTCTCTCTCTCTCTCTCTCTCTCTCTCTCTCTTCTCTCTCTCTCTCTCCTCGTCTCTCTCTCTCTCTCAACTGGATCACCACACCCTAGAATGCAACTCAGTCACTGTGATATGCCTATCACACTTCCGATAGCCTAGAGTTCCAGGACAGTGGATAAAGCACAGACACCTAAAGCTTACAGATCTCTGACCTTTTTCGTCGTGTGTACCTCGCTTGTTTGCCCCCACTGAACCCCCCCCCCCCCCCCCCCCCCCTTTCTGTCTCTGTATCTCTCAGCCGGAACAATACATAGATCATATGGATATAGATTAGCCATATATCTCTGTCAGGCTGCATCATTATAGCTCATAACTATAATCACATAAAGCTCATTTGGTAATAAACTGCAGAAGGGGCCCACATGAGACGTGATGGATAGGTGTAATAAAGGAAACATAGACATACTAGAGATTATCTTCCGATAATAGAAAACACACTGGATATTGTTTCATCAATCTGACTGAATGCCCTTTCAGTGAACTATTCTTCATCCAGGGAAACAAAGGAAATGGTGATGGGATAACACTGCGTTAGAGTACCCTTCTTTGGCCCTACACTATCCAATCCGAAGTGTGTGTCCTTGCCAACTCAGCTCCATTCCTCCCAGCCTTGGGGCAGACATCAGGAGACACAGGCCATCCGGAACAGAACAAGAGATGAGGCAGAAAGTAACAGCTTTCTCAGTCAGCAGAGCTGGTGTATAGGAGGAGGAGAAAGAGAACGCGGAGGAGGAAGGAGACAGCACCCATCTCTCTCTTTCTTCCTACCTCTCCCTCTCTCAGTAAATGAGCTGAAGGAGCTATAGTTGTTCTGCTGATGCCAAAGCCACACTGACTGACTGGCTGTATGCTATGCTGTAGTAATGAGTTAGTCTAGAGCGGTGAGCACAAATCACCAGACAAAAGACCAAAACACAGGGAGCGAGAGAGAGAATACTAAGCTAAAGCCGGGCTGCAGGGGGAGAAAAATAACAACATATACTACATGGCTCTCTCTCTTTTAAGATCTGCTTCTATAAATGTATAAGATTCATTATATTACACATATTGCACACACCAAAAGAAGAAAGAAGAGAGGGATAGACAGCAACTGAGATCAGGAAGAGGGAGTCCAGGGAATTAGACATCAGGGCAGGGGCTGGGTTGGGGTTGTTGGAGTTAGGGGGGTATAGCTGGCAGAGTCTGTGTGAGAGACTAATGAGCGTAGCTGTAAATATTCTTCCCATGGCTCACCGGCCTGCTGATGAGGCTCAGGGCTGGCTATGTACTAAACCTACCAGTCTGTCTGTGTACTGCTCTGAGCATATGCATACTGCATGTCTCTGTACAGTATGTACAGTGCCTTGCAAAAGTATTCATCCCCCTTGGCGTTTTTCCTATTTTGTTGCATTGCAACCTGTAATTTAAATGGATTTTTATTTGGATTTCATGTAATGGACATACACAAAATAGTCCAAATTGGTGAAGTGTTTTAAAAAATGCTACAAAATAAATAACTGAAAATTGGTGCGTGCATATGTATTCACCCCCCCTTTGCTATGAAGCCCCTAAATAAGATATGGTGCAACCAATTACCTTCAGAAGTCACATAATTAGTTAAATAAAGTCCACCTGTGTGCAATCTAAGTGTCACATGATCTGTCACATGATCTCAATACACCGTTTCTGAAAGGCCCCAGAGTCTGCATCACCACTAAGCAAGAGGCACCACCAAGCAAACGGCACCATGAAGACCAAGGAGCGCTCCAAACAGGTCAGGGACAAAGTTGTGGAGAAGTACAGATCAGGGTTGGGTTATAAAAAAATATCAGAAACGTTGAACATCCCACGGAGCACCGTTAAATCCATTATTAAAAAATTGAACAAATATGGCACCACAACAAACCTTCCAAGAGAGGGCCGCCCACCAAAACTCACGGACCAGGCAAGGAGGGCACTAATCAGAGAGGCAACAAAGAGACCAAAGATAACCCTGAAGGAGCTGCAAAGCTCCACAGCGGAGATTGGAGTATCTGTCCATAGGACCACTTTAAGCCATACACTCCACAGAGCTGGGCTTTACGGAATAGTGGCCAGAAAAAAAGCCATTGCTTAAAGTAAAAAATAACAAACACGTTTGGTGTTCGCCAAAAGCCATGTGGGAGACTCCCCAAACATATGGAAGAAGGTAGTCTGGTAAGATGAGACTAAAATTGAGCTTTTTGGCCATCAAGGAAAACGCTATGTCTGGCGCAAACCCAACACCTCTCATCACCCCAAGAACACCATCCAATGTTTTTCATCGGCAGGGACTGGGAAACTGGTCAGAATTGAAGGAATGATGGATGGCGCTAAATACATGGAAATTCTTGAGGGAAACCTGTTTCAGAGATTTGAGACTGGGACGGAGGTTCTCCTTCCAGCAGGACAATGACCCTAAGCATACTGCTAAAGCAACACTTGAGTGGTTTAAGTAACATTTAAATATCTTGGAATGGTCTAGTCAAAGCCCAGACCTCAATCCAATTAAGAATCTGTGTGTCACGATCGTCGGGAAGAGAGGACCAATGCGCAGCGTGGAATGTGAACATACTTTATTTATTATTCACCACACGAACAAAACAACAAACGATACGAAACGTGAAGTCCTTGGTTACAACACAAACCATACGGAACAAGATCCCACAAACACTGTGGAAAAACAGGCTACCTAAATATGGATCCCAATCAGAGACAACAAGCAACAGCTGATTCACGTTGCCTCTGATTGAGAACCACACCGGCCAACATAGAAACAAACGAACTAGACAATCACCCTAGCACACAAAACACATAGAAACCACACACCCTGGCTCAACATAACAGAGTCCCAGAGCCAGGGCGTGACAGTACCCCCCCCCCAAAGGCGCGGACTGCGACCGCGCCAAACATAAACCGAACAGGGGAGGGCCGGGTGGCTATTCCTCCTCGGAGGCGGTTCCGGCTCCGGGCTTGACCCCCACCCTCCAACCAACCCCCCAAAGCGCCCCTGGTCCGGTCTGGCCCTGCTGGCCGGAGCTGGACTGAACACTGGTGGAGCGGATTGCTCTAGCTCCGGAGTGGAGCAGCTTACCGGTGCTGGACCAGGCACCGGTGGAAAAGGCACGGGCTGTGCCAGGCTGACGACGCGCACCATTGGCTTGGTGCGGGGAGCAGGGACGGGCCGAACCGGGCTGACGAAGCGCACCATTGGCTTGGTGCGGGGAGCAGAAACAGGCCGGACCGGGCTGACGACGCGCACCACAGGCTTGGTGCGGGGAGCAGGGACGGGCCGAACCGGGCTGACGAAGCGCACCACTAGCTTGGTGCGGGGAGCAGGAACAGGCCGGACCGGGCTGACGACGCGCACCACAGGCTTGGTGCGAGGGGCAGGAACATGCCGGACCGGGCTGGCGACGCGCACCACAGGCTCGGTGCGAGGGGCAGGAACATGCCGGACCGGGCTGGCGACGCGCACTACAGGCTCGGTGCGAGGGACAGGAACAAGCCGGACCGTACTGGGGACACACACCACTGGCCCTACGCGGGGATCAGGAACGGGCCGGACCGGACTGGCAACACACCCCAGTACTTCTCGCCGTGCCTCTACATTCTCCTTCCCCCTGGTGACCAGTGACTCCCGTAACCTGGCGGCCTCCTTTGCCAACCCGCTGAACCACTCTATCCCGGCCTCCTGCTGCCCCGTCGTCCACGGCGTGAGCCCCCCCCCAAAAAAAAATTCTGGGCGTCTCTCCTCCCCGTGGGCCAGGCCTCCATGGCTCTCGCCAGACTCTCGCTCCTCTGCTCCAAAGTCCAGCCTCTCTCCTCCTCCCGCGGCTTGACCCAGTCGAGGTTGATATCCTTCAGAGTCACCTCTGGCGTTGGCTCCTGGACACGCTGCTTGGTCCAGTTATGGTGGGATCTTCTGTCACGATCGTCGGGAAGAGAGGACCAATGCGCAGCATGGAATGTGAACATACTTTATTTATTATTCACCACACGAACAAAACAACAAACGATACGAAACGTGAAGTCCTTGGTTACAACACAAACCATACGGAACAAGATCCCACAAACACTGTGGAAAAACAGGCTACTTAAATATGGTTCCCAATCAGAGACAACAAGCAACAGCTGATTCACGTTGCCTCTGATTGAGAACCACACCGGCCAACATAGAAACAAACGAACTAGACAATCACCCTAGCACACAAAACACATAGAAACCACACACCCTGGCTCAACATAACAGAGTCCCAGAGCCAGGGCGTGACACTGTGGTATGACTTAAAGATTGCTGTACACCAGCGGAACCCATCCAACTTGAAGGAGCTGGAGCAGTTTTGCATTGAAGAATGGGCAAAAATCCCAGTGGCTAGATGTCCCAAGCTTTCTACAAGAATGGCGCCGGAAAAGATGGCTGCCGTTTTACAGCCCTCTAACCAATTGTACTATTATGTGTGTTTTTTCGCGTTATTTGTAATTTATTCTGTACATAATGTTTCTGCCACTGTCTCTTATGACCAAAAAGAGCTTCTGGATATCAGGACAGCGATTACTCACCTCGTATTGGACTAAGATTTTTTCTTCAACGAGTCAGACGCGAAGGATATTCTACAGACACCCGACAAGGCCAAAATCCCCGTCATTCGCATGAGAAAGAGACTGAGATATTGTGGACGTAGGTCGGGGTGCCTTGTAAGGATCCGACGGCGAGCGAGTAAACTGCCTCTTCCATCAATCCTATTAGCCAATGTTCAATCATTTGAAAACAAATTGGATGATCTAAGACCTAGGTTATCTTACCAACGGGACATTAAAAATTGTAATATCTTATGTTTCACCGAGTCGTGGCTGAACGACGACATGGATAACATACAGCTAGCGGGCTATACGCTACATGGGCAGGATAGAACGGCTGACTCCGGTAAGACAAGGGGTGGCGGTCTGTGTATATTTGTAAACAACAGCTGGTGCATAAAATCTAATACTAAGGAAGTCTCAAGGTTTTGCTCGCCTGAGGTAGAGTATCTCATGATAAGCTGTAGACCACAATATTTACCAAGAGAGTTTTCATCTATATTTTTTGTAGCTGTCTATCTACCAAGATTGCACTCAATGAGCTATATAAGGCCATAAGCAGACAGGAAAACGCTCATCCAGAGGCAGCGCTCCTAGTGGCCGGGGACTTTAATGCAGGGAAACTTAAATCCGTTCTACCTAATTTCTATCAGCATGTTAAATGTGCAACCAGAGGAAAAAAAACTCTAGACCACCTTTACTCCACACACAGAGACGCATACAAAGCTCTCCCTCGCCCTCCATTTGGCAAATCTGACCATAACTCTATCCTCCTGATTCCTGCTTATAAGCAAAAACTAAAGCAGGAAGCACCAGTGACTCGGTTAATAAAAAAGTGGTCAGATGACGCAGATACTAAGCTACAGGACTGTTTTGCTAGCACATAATGGAATATGTTCCGGGATTCTTTAGATAGCATTGAGGAGTACACCCCATCAGTCACTGGCTTCATCAATAAGTGCATCGATGATGTCGTCCCCACTGTGACCGTATGTACATACCCCAACCAGAAGCCATGGATTACAGGCAACATCCGCACTGAGCTAAAGGGTAGAGCTGCCGCTTTCAAGGAGCGGGACTCTAACCCGGAAGCTTATAAGAAATCCTGCTATGCCCTCCGACGAACCATCAAACAGGCAAAGAGTCAATACAGGACTAAGATTGAATCGTACTACACCAGCTCTGAAGCTTGTCGGATGTGGCAGGGCTTGAAAACTATTACAGACTACAAAGGGAAGCACAGCCGCGAACTGCCCAGTGACACAAGCCTACCAGACGAGCTAAATCACTTCTATGCTCGCTTCGAGGCAAGCAACACTGAAGCATGCATGAGAGCATCAGCTGTTCCGGATGACTATGTGATCACGCTCTCCGTAGCCGATGTGAGTAAGACTTTTAAGCAGGTCAACATTCACAAGGCCGCAGGGCCAGACGGATTACCAGGACGTGTATTGCGAGCATGCACTGACCAACTGGCAAAGGTCTTCACTGACATTTTCAACATGTCCCTGACTGAGTCTGTAATACCAACATGTTTCAAGTAGACCACCATAGTCCCTGTGCCCAAGGACACAGTGGTAAGCCTGATCACCGACAACGATGAGACAGCCTATAGGGAGGAGGTCAGAGACCTGGCCGTGTGGTGCCAGGATAACAACCTCTCCCTCAACGTGATCAAGACAAAGGAGATGATTGTGGACTACAGGAAAAAAAAGAGGACTGAGCACGCCCCCATTCTCATCGACGGGGCTGTAGTGGAACAGGTTGAGAGCTTCAAGTTCCTTGGTGTCCTCAGATCCTCAAAAAGTTCTACAGCTGAACCATCGAGAGCATCCTGACTGGTTGCATCACCGCCTGGTGAGAGAGTAGCACTACAGAGAGTTGTGCGTACGGCCCAGTACATCACTGGGGCCAAGCTTCCTGCCATCCAGGACCTCTATACCAGGCGGTGTCAGAGGAAGGCCCTCAAAATTGTCAAAGACTCCAGCCACCCTAGTCATAGACTGTTCTCTCTGCTACCGCACGGCAAGCGGTACCGGAGTGCCAAGTCTAGATCCAAAAGACTTCTCAACAGCTTCTACCCCCAAGCCATAAGACTCCTGAACAGCTAATCATGGCTACCCGGACTATTTGCACTGCCCCCCCACCCCATCCTTTTTACGCTGCTGCTACTCTGTTAATTATTTATGCATAGTCACTTTAACTCTACCCACATGTACATATTACTTCAACTACCTCAACTAGCCGGTGCCCCCGCACATTGACTCTGCACCGGTACCCCCCTGTATATATAGCCTCCCTACTGTTATTTTATTTTACTTCTGCTCTTTTTTTTCACAACACTTTTTTGTTGTTGTTTTATTTTTACTTTTTTTGTTAAAAATAAATGCACTGTTGGTTAAGGGCTGTAAGTAAGCATTTCACTGTAATGTCTGCACCTGTTGTATTCGGCGCATGTGACCAATACAATTTGATTTGATTTGATTTGATTTGGTATGGCAACTGCTCGGCCTCCGACCGCAAGGCACTACAGAGGGTAGTGCATACAGCCCAGTACATCACTGGGGCCAATCTTCCTGCCATCCAGGACCTCTATACCAGGTGGTGTCAGAGGAAGGCCCTAAAATGTGTCAAAGACTCGAGCCACCATAGTCATAGACTGTTCTCTCTGCTAACGCACGGCAAGCGGTACCGGAGCGCCAAGTCTAGGTCCAAAAGGCTTCTCAACAGCTTCTACCCCCAAGCCATAAGACTCCTGAACAGCTAATCATGGCTACCCGGACTATTTGCACTGCCCCCACCCCACCCCATCCCCCTCTTTTACGCTGCTGCTACTCTGTTTACTATTTATGCATAGTCACTTTAACTCTACCCACATGTACATATGACCTCAATTACCTCGACTATCCCCCGCACATTGACTCTGTACCGGTACCCCCCTGTATATAGCCTCCCTACTGTTATTTTACTGCTGCTCTTTAGCTATTTGCTTCTTTTTTTTTTTATCTTAATGAACACTTTTTTATTTTAAATGTTTCTTTAAAAAACTGCATTGTTGGTTAAGGGCTTGTAAGTAAGCATTTCACTGTAATGTCTACACCTGTTGTATTCAGCGCATGTGGCAAATAAAATATGATTTGATTTGATTTTATAGAGACATATCCCAAGAGACTTGCAGCTGTAATTGCTGCAAAAGGTGGCTCTACAAAGTATTGACTTTGGGGGGGTGAATAGTTATGCACGCTCAAGTTTTCTGTTTTTTTGTCTTATTTCTTGTTTGTTTCACAATAAAAAAATATTTTGCATCTTCAAAGTGGTAGGCATGTTGTGTAAGAGAAAAGGAAAGCTGCACACTCTAGGAGCTCAGATGCAATAATTTAATATCCTAATAACCAACGTTTCGACAGACAAGCTGTCTTCATCAGGGTATAATGACAAACACTGCGGGTCACTAGTTTATATAGTGTGAAAGGACACACGCAGGTGTCTGTAATCATGGCCGGGTGTGGCCTAATAGCATTGGCCAATTCACAGATAAAAACAACATACAAAAAACATGGATAGCATATGATCATAGATACTTGGCTACATAGGCCCACAACATTTAAAATGAATAGCAAAATCACAAGAATGGCTTCAAATCAAAGTCTACATTGAGACGAAGGGAGCAAGGGTCTTTAAATTATGATGAAGACAGCTTGTCTGTCGAAACGTTGGTTATTAGGATATTAAATTATTGCATCTGAGCTCCTAGAGTGTGCGGCTTTCCTTTTCTTTTTCAAGTGTTTTACGCCGTCAGCCAGCACCTCGCCTAAATAGGTGTGCGTTTATTTTGCCTTTATCAGGCATGTTGTGTAAATCAAATTATACAAACCCCACAAAAATCAATTTTTATTCCAGGTTGTAAGGCAACAAAATAGGAAAAATGCCAAGGGGGGTGAATACTTTCGCAATCCTCTGTATGTCTGCTTGTGTGCCCATCTACATGTTGTCTACATGCCATTTATTTTATGTGCCAGTCCCAATGCCTCTCTGTCTGTAGGCATGTCCTAAAGTGGGGGGGAAGAAATGCCATAGCCTTGGGAGTTGAGCGCTCTGCAGCCTTGAGGATGGTAGAGCCATTTTCACAGTCAAAAAGATTCCAGTTTCCCGATCGAGGTGCCAGGCCAGACAGCTCCCGGCTAATCCACAGGATTCTGGAGAGCTAATTTTCCTTTCTCCGGCTTGCATCGCATACACCATGCCACGCTCAGCTGAGCTCACACAGTATATACAGCACTCTGTGTGTGTGTATGTGCATGCGTGCGTATGTAGCATATGAAGCACTAGTCTCCTCAGCCTTCATCGCAAAATGAACAGGCTAGCACTCGATACTTCTTGATACTTTTTCGACAGTGCCAGAGATAAAACCTCTTACTCAAGGGGAAAATCTAATTTTCAGGCTTGATGTGCCATTTCACCATGCACAGACCTCCGCATACACGCACACACACACAGTGTTATGATTAGTGTGAATGCACACACAGCTGATCCTACACACCAGTGAACCACAGACAGATTCCCATGCTGAGACCAGTCTGACAATGTCACACTGCAAACAGACTGCTCTGCTGCAGCCCTCTCTCTGTCTCGCTGCATGACGAGACAGACTGCTCTGCTGCAGCCCTCTCTCTGTCTCGCTGCATGACGAGACAGACTGCTCTGCTGCAGCCCTCTCTCTGTCTCGCTGCATGACGAGACAGACTGCTCTGCTGCAGCCCTCTCTCTGTCTCGCTGCATGACGAGACAGGACTGCTCTGCTGCAGCCCTCTCTCTGTCTCGCTGCATGACGAGACAGACTGCTCTGCTGCAGCCTCTCTCTGTCTCGCTGCATGACGAGACAGACTGCTCTGCTGCAGCCCTCTCTCTGTCTCGCTGCATGACGAGACAGAACTGCTCTGCTGCAGCCCTCTCTCTGTCTCGCTGCGTGACGAGACAGACTGCTCTGCTGCAGCCCTCTCTCTGTCTCGCTGCGTGACGAGGCAGACTGCTCTGCTGCAGCCCTCTCTCTGTCTCGCTGCATGACGAGACAGACTGCTCTGCTGCAGCCCTCTCTCCCCCCTTCTCGCTCTCCCCCTCTCTGTCCCTCTCTAATAACAGCACTTTCAGAGACAGCAGAAGGGTGACCTCTCTCCACAGCCCTCCCACTGTTCCATCTGTTTGCATACTCCCTTCCGCTCTTTCTCTCTATCCCTCTCTCTTTCTCTCTGACATGATTCAAAGATTCATGGAAAAGTACTAGTCAGTCTCCACAGACTCAATATATATGGACTCTCTTACTTCCAAACACTCCGTACTCTGGCTTCTTCTGTTTGTCTGTCTTTCCTCCATCTCTCGCTCTCATTCTCATTATCTCTCTCCAACTCTATCTCATTCTCTCTCTCCATCTCGATCTCATTCTCTCTCTCCATCTCTATCTCATTCTCTCTCTCTCATCTCTATCTCATTCTCTCTCTCCATCTCTATCTCATTCTCTCTCTCCATCTCTATCTCATTCTCTCACTCCATCTCTATCTCTATATCATTCTCTCACTCCATCTCTATGAAGACCTCGAGCGAGAGCGAGAGCGAGAGAGAGAGAGAGAGAGAGAGAGAGAGAGAGAGAGAGAGAGAGAGAGAGAGAGAGAGACAAAGGGAAAATGGGATAGAGAAAGAGAGGACAGATCTTTTCCCACAACCCTCCTGTCCTGTTCTATCTACCTGCTCACCGTCACTCCCCTGTGTCTTCCATCTGTGCAGCACAGCAGCAGTCAGTGAGAGGGAGAGGTAGGGGGTGAGTCATCCACTGGGCTCCAACAACACTGCGCGGCATTCCCATTCATAGGACTTTTCCTTTTTATAGGACACACACACAGATCCAGGTGCCGGACTGTAGCCTATATGTGGACATAACAGTCTAAAGAAGTGTTTTTATTTTATTACAGTTGAGCTCCAGACTGATAATAGAAGCCAAACAGGCAGCTATGTAGATGTCTGATAAAACGATGAGGCTCGTCTGTGTGACTTAGTCCATGACAGGAAGCTGGCAGCCTGTCTTTGAGGACGGAGCATCCATTAACTCAATAAAGCTGTTTAGACCCGTAAAGAAATGTCTGAGATTTGACAGCAGCTGGGGAGGGAAAGTAATCAGACAGTATTCAGACAGAATGACACTGAACAGACTCTCAGACCAGACTCTGAGTATGATCTGTGTCTCTGTCTGTCTACATCTTGCAGGGTGTCAAAGTATGTCCCAACAAAACCATTTGTGTCTGGATCAATGATACACAGGCCAGATGCATGAAACTTGAAACAGGCCAGATGCATGAAACTTGAAACAGGCCAGATGCATGAAACTTGAAACAGGCCAGATGCATGAAACTTGAAACAGGCCAGATGCATGAAACTTGAAACAGGCCAGATGCAGTCACAACTAAAACGTGAAACAGGCCAGATGTCAGACAACTGAAAAGATAACCCAAAAAGCTGTTACATTAACCAAACTCCCTCTCTTTCTTCTCTATTTCTCTGCCTCCCTTCATATACTGTATCTGATACAATATGATCAACAGATGACGTACATTCAAGAGAACTAATAGAAGACTGGAATGAAAAGGAAATATTTGGTAATATATCGCTCTTGTTATGTCTAATTTATTGAGACATAACAGAACGTTCTCACAAAGGAATGTAAATGTTTATGGAGCAGTATTATCTTACTGTCCTAGCTAGCCTCCCTGTGACCTCCAATCAGAACAGACAGATGCTTCAGAGGGTCACACACAGACGTGCGCACACACGGCAGTCATAATTCTGTCTGTATTGAATGATGCTTTATTATGGGGAGACGTTTAGGAGTCTCTCTGGTGGTTAACAGTCTTAATGAAGGGAAGAATCCTTGACTGTCTGCTGGAGCCTTGTGTGAAGTGTTTACAGTCCTGACTCTGCTTCGGTGATAGTCTCTTGTGGGCTCTCATTGATTGTTCATCCATCTATGTGTTCTGTGCACACACATGCAGTAAGACATGTGAGGTGAGATTCAAAGACAGCTGGCTCCCTGCATTAATTCTGGGCATAAAAATCAGAGGGCAGTTTGAGAAGGTGAGAAAAAGCCACAAAGGAGCCCTATGAGTGTGTGTGTGTGTGTGTGTGTGTGTGTGTGTGTGTGTGTGTGTGAAAAGACAATCAGCGGGCAGGAGCAAATGTGAGAAGTGGAAACAAAGGACACCTCCGCCAGATAGAAGGTGATAGACTGTGTGTGTTATTGGCGTACCGGACAATTTCCATATGTACTAGGAAGCTACTGTAAGTGTTGTTTCTTGGGCTTCAGGAATGTGACTGAAAAAGTGCCTCTGGCCTTTAAAAAAAATGAAAAAATGAAAGAAAGAAAGGGGATATGGGTGAACAAATGTCGTGGTCAAGGCTACGACGGCGCCAGTGCAATGAGTGGAGCTTACTCAGGTGTTGAAAAGCACATAGCAGACCGAGAGCCTAATGCTTCTATACTTCTTTATGAGTTTTACTTTAGAAAACGATCTCTCCGCAGAAGTGACAGTTACAGGGATGGTAAAAACGGCCAGACAGCTAAGGAGAAGGGAGTGTAGCTTCAAATACAGCAGTTCTGTAACTTTAATTGAGCCTCTCGTTCTCCTTAGTTGCCGGCCTCAACACATTACGGAAAGAGATGAACTGTATAGGAAGCTCATCTTTAGTGGACAACAGTTCTTGGGGGGTCTTTCCATGACATAGACTGACCAGGTGAATCCAAGTGAAAGCGATGATCCCTTATTGATGTCCACTCCAATCAGTGTAGATGAATGGGAGGAGACAGGTTAAAGAAGGATTTTTAAGCCTTGAGACAATTGAGACATGGATTGTGTATGTGTGCCATTCAGAGGGTGAATGGGCAAGACAAACAATTTAAGTGCCTTTGAACAGGGTATGGTAGTAGGTGCCAGGCGCACCGGTTTGTATCAAGAACTACAATGCTGCTGAGTTTTTCGTGCTCAACAGTTTCCCATGTGTATCAAGAATGGTCCATCACCCAAAAGACATACAGTCAACTTGACACAATTGTGGGAAGCATTGGTCAACATGGGCCAGCACCCCTTTGGATCGCTTTCGACACCTTGTTAAGTCCATGCCCCGACGAATTTAGGGTGTTCTGAGGGCAAAGGCGGGGGGGGGGACTCGGTGTAGATTGCGAGGACGACTCATGTCATGTAGGTTCAGGTAGCCTATACAGGACAGTTGTATAGTCTAAAACATTTGATTGGTAGCTGATTAGTATGCGGTTGCATTGCAAATACATTTTACTATGTGCAATGTTTGAATTTCCAACTGTAATTACTGAACAAGTAATTACATTATTGCCGCCAGCCAGCAGACACCGTGTCGACCATGCGTGGGCCCAGAGAAACTGTGTTACGCCAGTGGTGTGTGTACGTGCACGTGTCCTTGTGAGTGTGTGTGAGGGTGTGCATGTGTGTAGCCTATTCTGTAAAAGCCGAATTGTGATGAGAGTGCAATGTTCAGTACCCCTCTGTTCTCCTGCTACCGAGCACCACTCAGAGAGATGAGATATGGGCCCAACACACAGCAGCACTATGTATACTTGCTGGCAGTGGGAAGATCATGAGGTATGACTATGAGGTAGCTCTTAATCACTGGAGCCTCTGCATGCATCCCAAATGGTACCATATTCCCTCCATAGTGCACTACTTTTGACCAGGGCTCTGTCTGCATCCTCTGGCTCAGCAAGCAAATCATGGGGTCCTTATGTGATGCTGGCCGCACAAAGATGTATGACCCTCTTGATGTCCCCTAACCTTCAAACCCTTGCTATTTAGTTAGTTCAAACCACTCACTAGTGATCCACAATTCAGCACTGTAAAACATCATCACCCAAATGGTTGGTATTCCCTCTGGGTATAGGCCTATCAACTAAATTCTACTGGCAAAGCAAGAATGTTTGTATTAACATAACATATTGGATTGTTATGGGCAACATGGACTACATATCCTACAACAACATATGTCATTTTATGCAGGTTTCTTTGCCAGAGTCTTGGGGGTAGTCTGTGATTATTGTCTGGCCAGTCAGAGTGCAGATGACAGAAAGACACCCCAGGGAAGAGCAGCAGTGGTAGGCCTACATACAAAGCCTGTGGGTCGCTATTTTCAAATCAAACAAATGCGCCAAATGAGACTTGTTTCGGTTTCTAGAAGGACACACGCATCCATCATGTGCCGTTCGTGTAAAAACATTCCAATACGACATACATTGCGCTGCCAACAACACAGCCACCGCGAACGCCTGTCTTCACCATATGAATGCAAGACATCTGTGTACGAGGGAAAAACAACAACACACCCGGAGCTTCTCTGCTGGAGTCCTGTTTTTGCACCAAGTGGAGAGCTATGATGACGTCTGTTATGATAAACTCGGAATGTCGCCAATCAACGAAATATGGCTGGCCTGCAATAAGCGTGGGATTAATAGGATAAATGAACAGTTCGATTGTAAATTAAATAGCCTGCCAGTTCTTTCCCATTATGTAATAGAATAGTAATTCGCTAGGAATAAAAACATCCATCCCTAGGCCAATTATTAGTCTCCCCGAAAACACCAGTTATGACCTGTTGGCAATAATGAATCAAGGAACCAGAACTTTATTATAATGGAGATATTATGGATAGGCCTAAATGTCAAGCAATGAAAATGCATAGCCCAAAGTCCAAGTTATCCCTTCATCGCCTAGCAACCTCAGCCACCTGCCGCTGTTATCATCGTGAAGAGCAGCTGAATTATTGATTGGATGGATGCCTTATATTCAGGAAGAGGATATAGGACTAGGATCAACAGTAAATACATATATTGTTCATTGTAGGCCTACTGACCACCAACAAGATCATTCTGAGTCATTAGGAGATCTTTATAATATTAAATGCCAAAAGCAGAGCAAATGTTGTACGGACTGCTCATAATCATTTTAACAGCAAAATAAAATAAAATGTGAATAACTTATGGAAAGGCCAACAAAAGTCACCGCCCCAATTAAGACCTTACCATATCAACTTTTAATTTTCGAATCTTCTCATCCAGATTCTTCCTGCCGGTGATGTCTCGGTCTTTGGTCTCCAGTGAGCTCAATTTGACATCTCCGCGGTGCGCGGATGCCTCTTCC